AAATGCTGCCATTAATACATTTTTTGAGTAACATTTTTCACTATTTCACTGAATCAAGCTAAGAGTGTATAAAATCCAAGAGGTACACTAAAATAATCTACACGTTGAAGCTACGTGAAAAATCACGTAAGTTCTCACTTTTTCCTCTCCTCTCCTGATGTCCCTTTGAATTTCACAGGGAGTTCTTATTTAAAACACCTACATAATCAATGAAATGTACGTGATTTTCACATAACATAGACTCATGTGCGTTTCACGTAAAGCTAATGAGATGTCCACATGTAAACAAAAGAGTGGTACGTACACTCAAAGCGGTGCAAATCATGGCGGCATAATAATGGGCTTTTGTTCGGTATTTTTTTAAAGAAAGTGGCAAGATGTCAGTATAAAATTATGGATTATTTGTTTCTCTTTGACAAACACAAACTGACTGTTTCATCGTACTCAACAGAATGATGTCAAGCTGTCCAGCAGTTTCTTCCTCAAAGGAAAAAAACCTCTAGGCTTATCTTTACGATCGTCCAGATTTGTGCTGCGTATCGAATTTAAAAAAAAATGCTGATTTGGTGTATTTAGAAAGTTTTAATAAATTAAAGGAACATTACTATTATTACTATTAATACAGTAAACATTTTATCTGCATATGAAGGAAATATTTGTATAAACAGTGTCAAAATATTGATACTAGAATCCTCCAATGAATGTCACCGACCAAATCACGTAACTTCTATGTGATAATCCTATGACGGTTAAGTTTCATGAAATGAGTGCCCCTACATGAGAATCACGTAGCTCTTTTGTGAAAAGTACGATAGAAAAAATCTACGTATGTTTTCACGTAGCATTAACGTGAAAATTATTCTGAGTGTAGGTCACTCCGCACACCAATCTTGGGTCAACATTTTTCTCAGTGTTCCACAAGTGTGCCCAAGGTGTGCCGATTACACGCTATTTCAAAACTACCCAAATTTGAGTAGAATCCACCCAGATCGGTCAAAACTGAACCTACCCAAAAATTGGTAAACTGTGTTGGGAGTTACAAGTTGACAAATGAACAACATCGACATGAATCCGATCGCTAATTTGTCAACTTTATACTCCCAACATAGTTTACCCATTTTAGGGTAGGTCTAGTTTTGACAGATATGGGTGGATTCTACAGAAATTTGGGTAGTTTTGAAATAGCGTGTATGCCGGTCATAGAGCAAGCTGCAATTTTTTGTAAAATACGAATATTATGGTATAGACGAGTGCACGGATGGATTTGAGTTCACTCACTCGACAAAAAGTGACACAACAGCGGGGCCCTGTTTACTAAAAATGAACACATGAATAATACTCACGTAACATTTGAAACGAGTCTATCAACTTATGTACACAAAACTTGTTGAGCCTTTTTCGCGCGAACCGAATACGCTCAAGCAAACTAACAACACCATCGGGCAGATGAAATTCTCCCCTTCCCGATAGTGCTCTTGGTTTGCGTGGGCGTACTTCGGTTCTCGTGAAAACGACATAGCATATTATTTACAAAAGTTGTTTGGCCCTTTTCAAATGTTACGTGAGCATTATTCATGTGTTCATTTTTAGTAAATAGGGCCCCGCTGTTGTGTCAAAAAAATTTCATTAGATGAACTAAAGTTCACCCGTGCACAGTTCTATACTTGGCAACCCGGTATTTCTGACAGCTTTAAGCTTGGTTTAGACTAGGCAAGTCAAATGATCAAATCGGTTGAATTCAATTGGCTTTAAAAGTTGAGCCTGGTTCAACTTTTTTTCAATTCAAGTGAGTTGATCAAATCAGTTGAATGGCATGGTTTACACGTTCAATTAGCGTTCAAGTCAGTTGAATTCAACTGACTTGATCAATTGACTTGCCCTGTCTAAACCCAGCTTTAATGTTTTGGCCTGACTGCTGGGATACGAGCTGACCGATATGATTAAGTTGGGTTTAGATTAGGCAAGTCAAATGATCAACTCAGTTTAATTCAATTGGCTTGAAAAGTTGAGCCTGATTCAACTTTTTTCAATTCAAGTGAGTTGATCAAGTCAGTTGAATGGCATGGTTTACACGTTCAATTCGCGTTCAAGTCAGTTGAATTCAACTGAATTGATCAATTGACTTGCCCTGTCTAAACCCAGCTTTACGGTGCTGTGTGAAAAGTCCATCTTATTCCTGACCAACAAGAAGAAGATTGAGGAGGACATTCCGTGTGGGTCTGGACCTGAGTCTTCAGGTTAAGTAAATTGTTTTTAAAAGTTAAACAGCTTCGGTGATGAATTTACCAACGAGTGACGGCTGACTTCTTTCTCGTTTGGAAACGAACGCGAACTCAAATATTGAAACGAATGCTGGAATATGTGCGTCTTCAAGTTGGTTTTCACGTTATTCGATTTGGTCAATCCTGTTGGATGATGAAACTACGTTCGATAGACATTGCAGACGAGTGAGTTAGTTCGCATGTGTTCATTTGTTTACATCATGGCTTCACCGGAGCAAGCACGTTTCGATTCTATCCTGCACGCTCGAAACGAAAATCTCGGCCCATCAACTCGAGAGTTAGTAAAACTTTTGAAGTTGTCGAATTCCACGGTGTGTGACATTCTGAAATAGACTAGGCAAGCTGCCACTACTCAAATTCCACCAAACAGTGGTACAGCGAACAGTCACAATGGTTTTCAAGGAGATAAATCCGGTCAATACTCCGGAACTAAGGCCAATTGACGGAACTAAGGCCAATGGCCTATGGTAAGAAGGAATGCTGAAACAATAGTCTTACAATAAGCATAATACCAACTAATGTATCGCTGTTACATTGAACTATGAAAAATAGAACGTATTTTTAAACCCCAACAAGATTTTCGTGTCCTGATTTTTTCGTGTTCAACCTTTAAGTTCGATGAAGTTTTACAAAGTTCACTGATTTTTTACTAAATTCCAAGGGGTAAGTCACTCAGCACATTGTGCCGAAATTAGATTCGGCACAGCTTGGGCACATCCATCAGCACACCTTCGATATACCTTCGGCACACTTTCGACACAATCTTGTAGGCATTGGATTGTTGTAAATAAAATGGGAGCACTGCTGGACAACTGTCGTTGAAGTTGTTCACAACATTACGTGCTGTTTGACTGTATTTTCAGGAACATCCTCTAATTGAGTATACCAAAGGAACTCAGACCAGCAGTTCACTTATAGATCTAAATATGAAATGTAGGTTCTAGAGTGGGCTCAAGTGAAAGAGGCAGTTTGTACCGCATTAGTACCCTTTATTCAAATAATGCTGCAACGCACACAAAACAAACTAAAGTAGTCTATTCATCATCCTCTACAGTCGGTCTCCAACAACGCTCCCCACCGGATCCAACTCTTTCTGGCCGCTGCTAGACCGATGCTTTTCACATCAGGAAAAGCTAGGTTTCTGGTTTACCTTTGAGGGCATTATAAAGCACTCAAACACAGGACTTTTATTACCCTATGGAACACAAATCACTGAAATTTCGCACACTCTCCACTTTGCGCGTCATCCTCAATCCAATTTATCCTTGCGATTTCAGACCAAAACATTCAAGGTGTCAGCAATATCGGGTTGCCGGGATGGGTATTTTACAAAAAATCGCAGCTTGCTCTATAATCGCAGCTTGCTTCTATAAAATTCGAAGTTCACTAAACTTCTACAAAGCTCGCTGAATTACTACAAAGCTTGCTGAATTACTTGGAAATGAACTAGCTAGTGGCTAAAAATCTCCTCCTGAACTTCTTCAATGTTCGCTGAACTTCTTCAAAGTTCGCTGACTTCTTCAAAGTTCGCTGAACTTCGTCAAAGTTCGCTTAACTTCTTCAAAATTCACTTAACTTCTTCACAGTTCGCTGCACTTCTTCAAAGCTCGCTGAACTTCTTTAAAGTTCACTGAAATTCTTCAAAGTTCGCTGAACTTCTTCACAATTCATTGAACTTCTTCAAAGCTCTCTGAACTTCTTTAAAGTTCGCTGAACTGCTACAAAATTTGATGGAAGGAAGTTTTCTGATCTCTGAACTTCCTCAAAATTGCGTGAATATTTACGAAGTTCCTTGAAGTTTTAGTTTCGTTCCCTTTTCTACCAAGTTCCTTGAAATCAAATGATGTTTCCTTGACTTCTACGTTGCCCTTGACTTCTAAGAAGTTCCCTGAACTTCTGTAAAGACTAAGTTTTATAGAGAATAAAAACTTTTCATTCTTGGAGCAATTATTTTTACATGACTTTGTTTGATTACACATCCTTTATGTCAAAGATGGACTTGTAAAATTCTAAGTGTGTAGGATTTAATTTTACAGCAATAGTTGCACCATTTGCGCACACGATTGGACAGTTGAGAACATTTTTCTTTCTTCATAATGTAAACTAGTTCTGGTGTAGAAATATAGATTTGTTCATGTTTTTGCTGACGCAACATATGTTCCAATATTGTAGGTATTTTCATGCTGTTTTTTGCCAATATATTACATATATACAGAGAAAAATAAATAATACAGTCAACTTAATTATAAATAAACACAGAAAAAAAATAAACAATCACTCGAGACAAGATATTTCAATAGCTTTAAACAGAAGACTTATCATACCCAACCTGGCCAAGCCTTGCGCTTGCGTTCAGTGAGTCCCTCTCCGCGATCCACCCATGCTGTTTAATCACAAAAATTCAAACTGCACACATTTGAAAAGTTACTTACACTACCCCCTTTCGTTCTTTTCCCATCCGGCGGTTAGCACAGCTCAATTTCACTCGGGATTGTGGTTAAGTACAGTAAGCAGGGGCCCAAAAGCACTAAGCACCTTTTTTTTTGGAGTAGGAGGACAATTTTACAGATAGAGAAAAGAAGGGGTGCTTGGTGGTTTGTTAGATCACAGGTTATGTTTCCACTAATTCTACTAACGGGTGCCACGTAAAACTACAAACTGTTGTGTGACGGGACAGGGAGTAGGAACATGCAGTCAATGGTGGTCTGATATAGTTACCTTTTCAACAACTTCTCTGTCTCCTCTCCAGTGAGGGCGTCGGTTGCTTTGGCAGTTGCTGTAGGGTTTTGAATTTTGATTGGTCGAAGGATATAGTTGGTAAAGTTTGTTGAAAGAGAAAGTAAAAAACGGAAGATGGTATATTTAAGGAAATGATAAACTGTACTTATCGATGAAATGGAAATTGGGACATGATTTCTCGATATTAGAATCCCAATTTCCGGCAACATACAATAATTATACTTTTCAAGAGACATTACATTCTAAACATAGAATTACACGCAATTAAGGTCATGCTTTCTCGTTGATAAAAACCAATCTGGTGGGATGCTATTAATGGACATTCACACGCACTTACGTATAACACATAAAGGGTTAACACACTTAAGAAGAAGTTTGTCACACATGAAATTTTGTTTCTATCAATGTCAATATCGTTCGGAAATTATACGATGGTTGGTTTTAGTCAGTCAATGTTGTCACTCAATGCAGGAAAATGACTGCTATTCTAGTGTGGGGCATTCCAAAACGGATGCGAGCGATTTTGGTCATTCGTATGAACATGGTTGTTATGACTATGGGTCATGAATCTTAGTGAGTGAGGACTGATGGCTATGACTTGTCACAGATTTGTTCTATGGTTGTAAAAGGGACTACAGATTAACTCATTGAAAGTTTGGAGAGGTAGAAATTTCATTCCAGAAGCAAATCGAAACAAAACTGACAACATTCGCCGGAACTCACCCTCGGTAGGTTCTGGTTTGTTTTTAGCAGGGGATGGCGTGAATTCGAAGATTTGGAGATTGATTTTTGTGGTTGGTGGGAACACGTGGTGTTGTGGATTGGAAGTTGTCCATATACGGTATGGAAGAGAAACATATAAACAGCTCATTAGGAAACGATTCGTTTTTTGTCCTTTGATTATAACCCGATTCTCGAGATAGTGGATGATATATGCAGTAAACTATGATTTGATGGAATCGTATTCCGGGTTTCCTAGCATATAGGATAAATTCAACATCGATGGGTACTTACCGCCATAGTTGCCTCGGGGACCGTTGTCCCGGTCGCACTCAGCCTCCGAAATTTCGTTACTTTCTTTGGAGTCGTTGAAGGACGAGTTGCTGGTATCGTGGTTGCGTGGTGGTGGTGGTGGGGGCTCAGGAGAACCTGTAAAATGAAGGAAGTGTATTGTTTCAAAAAAATTGATTAATAGCTCAGGGGTCTGAAGCAATGCTCTGGCAAATTTGACGAAATAACACCACAGTTAACCGTAGATAATAATAGCATAATAAAGGCGGCGGGTTGCGTTCGGGTGTAATGCAAAAATCAGTTAGTTGGATGTCATGCATCTCCGAATATTCCGAAAAATAACCTAAGTTCTCACGTTATTTTAAGTTCATTATGTCGAACAGAAGTTGCAAAATCTTGAAGATATTTTTTAGACCGGCATCTTGAAATCTTATATAAGCGTAAGATCCCAAACAAATTTCAAAGCCCCAATTTTTTTCATCCAAATTCAGGATCTTGATTGTTGTGTGTGTCTGGGATCTTGAAATGTTGTCTATCTTAATAATTCTCATGAATCTCTTAACAGGATTTTCAATTTTTTGAAAGCACATCCCTAGGATATCCCTAGAGCTTTCGATGCCTGTACCATTTTTGCATTAGAATAATTGTGTGGCAAGTACGATCATACTCTATGCCCAGTAGACTGATGCAAAATTTGATGTTTTCGCTCCACAGTGCTCAAACGGTTCCTAATTGGGTCCTGCTTAGCCTCCCAAAATTTGAACTACTTTAGTAAGAATCTGACTTGGCACAAACCATTTCAATTTTATATGGGAATTACTATGGGAAAACTTAAGTTTTTGTTTATATCTATCTAACAATTCTCCACATCACTGTGCTTTTAAAAATGATAGCAGTGATTGTAGCAAATTTTCTCAGCTACAACTTTGTTGAAAACCACTTTTCAATCAAATGCATGGAACAAAAGTTATTAATGATTCAAGTCACTGATGTCTTATGATTATGCTCATTCAACTGTTCAGCAGGCAACATTGGTGTTTCTGGTGAGAAGAATAGAGCAAAAATATCATGGCTACTATGTCACACTGCAGAATACAGTGTTGCTAACAGAACAGCTGCTTGATCATGCCATAAGATTAACAATCTCTTAAACAATTAATAACAATTTAATTTGACATTTGGCTGAAAAACAATATTGCGCAAAGTTGTAGCTTAGAAAAATTCCCGTAAGAATAGTTATAGAACTTTTCGCAAAAGCAATATGGAAAATGAGTAGAAGCCAAGGTACAAAAAGTTTGGTTTTCCCATAGTAATTTCCATATAAACTTCGAATGATTTGTGCCAAGTCAGTTTCTTACCAAATGAGTTTAAATTTTGGGAGGCTAATCAGGACCTGATTTGAAGCCGTTTGAGCACTGTGGAGCGAAAATTTCAAATTTTGCATCAGTCTAATGCCCAGGGAAGTCGAGTAATTTTCCAATCCGATAAATTCCTAGACCGGACCGGGAATCGAACTCAGCCACCTCCAGCATGGTCTTGCTTTGTAGTTGCGCCCTTACCGACTGAACTAAGGGAGACCCCTGTCTGGACTCTCAGTTCTTTTAAGTTCCATTACTTTATCAATTAGGTAACCAAAAGTGCTTGTTTCTCAAAATCTTAAAACATTTCAGAAGTTCCGTGAGTCAAAAAATCCGAAAACTAGTTGGTTATTTCGTGAGCTTTTCCGTAAAATATCAATTAAAATTGATGTCGGAAGTTCCGTAAACTCATCGTAAGTCTTTGAAGTTTGCAGACATTTCGTGAACTTGCCATGACTTCTGTAAACTTGTTGGAAATTCCGTGAATTTCTTAGAAGTTCTGTGAATTTGTTTTGAGTTCCGTGAACAACTCTGTTACTTATAATCAATATAGGTTGTATTCGCGAGGTCGTATACCTCGCCTAATTTTACGATCATTATTCTATGATAAATTAGACGAGATATACGATCCCGGGAATACAACATATATTCGTTATGTGTCAAGTAAAACAGTGGTCGGGAGTTCCGTGAACTTATCGGAAGATCACAGAACTTGTTAAAATTTCGTGAACTTGTTGTAAATTCCCTAAAGTTCCCCTGGAGCTTCCCCATAGTTCCCCAAAGTCCCCCTGTAAATTCTCAAAAGTTCCCCAAGAATTTTCACAAAGTTCCCCTGGAACATCCCGAAAGATTCCCTGGAATATCCCAAAAGTTCACTTGGAACTTCCTCAAAATTTCCTTGGAACTTGTCAAAAGTTCCCTTGGAACTTCCCTGAAGTTCTCCTCTTAATTCTATTCAGAACTACCTTAGACTTTATGTGAAGTTGCCCCACTTACTTTAGAGAGATGCAGGGAACTCTACTAAGTAAGTGTCACATGAGTTTGAAGGTTTGTTAGTTGGGAGAGTAAAGCCATGGGATACGTTCGGCAAACATTGCTGGCCGATTTATAATAGCAATGGGCAGTGTTGGGAAAATATTTAAAAATCAATTCTCACCCATGTCCAAGATCTCGCCAGCCCAGTGGCAGGCGCATAGGCAAAATTTTATACCGTGACAGTGGGCCCAGCACAGCAAAATAAACGATTTGAGCCCGGGACATGCTGCCTACTGTCAAACACTGCTGTTGGTATAGACTTCTCTGCCCCCTTTAGTATTAGTGAGCGATTTCACTACTACATATGTTCTACTGGTGGAAAATAAAAAACAAATCGCTGTCAAGTCCACTTCAGGAAAATGGTAAGAAATCAACTTTATTTCTAGTTTATGTTTATTTTAAGCAAAAACTATTAATTTCAAGGATTGTGAAGCTGCAGCACAAAGATATCGTCGTAAATTGGAAATGTGCAACGGTATCGACCCGTCAACAGTACAAACGACACCGCAAGAAGTGCCATTAATGATGACATTCGCCAACATCTACCAGTTTCTAGTTTTGGATCCCAACCCGTTTACTGGTGAACCAAAAGATTGTGGAAAAGGAATGGATGCGATTTTTTATTATAAAAACGGATGGGTCAAGAGTGTTTCTGGACGAAGAGTGCAAGATATATATGTGGGGCACGGAGTTGTTCGGCATTCGTTCGCGCTTAACGAAAAGCCTCTTAATCCTTGGATTTTGATTGATGAGCATGGCAAGATCCTTGCAGCACATTGCAACTGCGCTATCGGGCTTCTAGAAGCATGCAGTCACATAGGAGCTACCTTATTTGCCCTTGAAGGAATTCGAACATCCGTCCTCGAAAAAAAGGTAAATAGGTCGTTGTTGCTTCCCTGGTAATTACTTCTCATATATTTCAAGTTTGATTAGCTTAGCATTGAGGTGTTTTTATGATATTATATGATTTTTATTTGCTTCTACATTTCCAGTTGTCGGTAACAGATTTGCCGGCATACTGGAGAAAACCTCCGGCAAGTATCAGCGACAACTTATATAAAAAGGTGCGTGATATTGATTTTGGCAGGCGCATACAAAAAAACATTTTGTCTATCAATCCGTTAAGTTGTTACGAATCCAGATGTCGAGACCTCTTAAGCGTGCTCCAGGCGGATGGCTTGAATGTTACTGCTGCTAGCCTATACTGCGGTGAAATTAATATGGACTATTGCTGTGCAAATTGCTCGTATGCGACAAATTTGAGAGAACAGCTGGATGACTACAACCTTCAGTTACTCCATGACCCGTTAAACATGCAATCGATTGCTGAATTGAGAGAACGTGCATTCGAGTACATCCAAAACCTTCCGAGTGATCCGGCAATGTTGAAACGAATCGACGACTTAACTGCTGAATAAAGTGACTCCAAGTGGTGGAATGTATTCAGGAGTGGACGTATCACAGCATCCAATTTAAAAGACGTGTGTAGCACTCAGTTGGCTCGACCATCCGTATCTCTGATTAAGAGACTGTGTTATCCTAGTGAGATAACGTTCTCTACAGCAGCGACCAAATATGGCAAGAAACATGAGGAGAGAGCTGTTGATCAGCTGTTTCACGCAGTTCAACATTTGCACCAAAATTTGCGGAAAATAAAATCAGGGCTGGTGATTTATGAAGAGCATCCGTTCATGGGAGCATCACCGGATGCAACCTTTCTTTGTGATTTGTCACGGCATAATAACAGTTGAGGTGAAGTGTCCCTTTTCAGCTCGAAATCGTTCAGATATGGTTGCGACCTTACTACAGCTCCAGGACTCCTTCGTTGAACGGAATGACACTGGCCAGATCCTGCTAAAAACTAAACATAAATATTTTTTTCAAGCTCTGATGCAGATATACGTCTGTAAGGCAAATTTTGGATATTTTTACGTGTGGTCTCCTCAGCAGGTTTTGCGCCACCAGGGATGCCTTTCGTTGCTGCATTCAATCGTAGACATCCACTTTCGATTAATTGAAACGATAGCCTGAAAAATATTTGCGTTAACATTAGATTAAAACCTAACTCCTTCATATTAGAGCATACTCTTGACTGATCTCCAATTCAGTCCCCGATTCGTTTTGAAATGTGTGATTCAATTCATGAAGATCACAATTTCCTTCAGATATTGGTTCGCCACTTGTGTCTTGCTGATTTACAGGCGGGTCCAAATCAATATTTATGTCCACGGTTGAGGTTGTTTCATTATTGCTCTCCTGCTGATTCATAGACGTATCGAAACTGATAGGACTGCTCTCCGGGTACTCCACAGAATTTGTTGAACACCCAGAGTCAAGCTGATGATCACTCTCAGATCCCATCGTCATAGTTAGCAAATTATCAGTTGTATCCTGCAGATTCAAAGTAGGAGCCCAATCGACATCATTATCCTCCAAAAGCTTTGCAGGCTTCCCGGAGACGAAGTGCCGACCACAGACACGATGATGGGGAGCCGGAGTTTTGGTCAAGCCACACACTTTCACCCAAACTAGAAGCCGCATTTTGGCCAAATTCCGCTCTGATTCACTGAACCGTTTGTATACCGCTGGAAGCCGGAACATCCGATACGTTTTATCGCTTGAATAAACGTAGCACGAAGGAATCACACACCTTAAAACCATTTTTGAATTCACGTAAATTTTTATTCGGAAGAGTTGAAATAGTTTGACAGCTGATTTTGTGGTTGAAAATAATAAACAAATCGATTCTACACGGCTACACGAGTTAAGGTGGTGTTAGTGAGATCTTGCAACAAGAAGTCTATAGGCCGTGTCACTGGCCTGGATCTCGCTTGATCTTCGTAGACAAAAATCAACATGCAAGCAATTGCGGATGAAATTACAAGCTGTGATATCAAGCTAACAAAACTCACCAGCTACCTTTCTAACCAAACCATGGTGAGTTTGAGTTTAATGATTTGTCACTGCTGGCAGCAGTAGATTCGTGTCTGCCATCCGTAAAGAGTAATGAGAGATAGCAAACCATACTTTCACTTTCTAAGAAAACGATGTGTAACGGAATTATTATTGCTACAGTTAAGCGAAACATTTTTCTAGAATTTGTTCAATGCAGTGCTGTAAAGCGAACCCCACTCGTATTGACAATAATATTGATGATGTGAATGCATACATATTGTCAATATCGATGTATTCACGTCAATGTATAATGTATTGACAATACGATTATTGTCAATAAAAATTTGTCGTGTGGAGTGCACTTAACAGGTTGTATTGGCTTTGGCGGCTATCAAAAGCACCAGCAAACGCACCGAGAATCGTTAATCCAAGCGAGGTATTAACAAAAGAGAAAATCGACGAAGAGAATCGATTATCGCGTTTACGCCCTTATGCATGCTCACTGTCGATTTTTGTCACTTACTTACCTTACTTACCAATCAGGCTAAGGCCTTGTTGTCCTCTGCTGTCCGAAGAAGTCGTCTCCACTCTACTCGATCCATGGCCACAGTTCGCCAGCCTCGTAGTCTGCGAAGGGTCCGCAGGTCACCTTCTACTTGGTCGATCCACCTTGCCCGCTGCGCGCCTCTTCTTCTTGTTCCTGTTGGGTCGCTTTCTAGAACCATTTTCACTGGGTCGTCGTGCGGCATTCTTACGACGTGCCCAGCCCACCGTAGTCGCCCAATTTTTGCAATGTGGACGATGGATGGTTCTCCCAGCAGCTGGTGCAATTCGTGGTTCATTCGCCTCCTCCACGTTCCGTCATCCATCTGCACTCCACCGTAGATGGTACGCAACACCTTCCGTTCGAAAACACCAAGGGCGCGTTGGTCCTCCACGAGCATAGTCCAGGTCTCGTGGCCGTAAAGGACCACCGGTCTAATCAGCGTCTTGTAGACAGTCAACTTCGTGCGGCGGCGAATTTTATTCGACCGGAGCGTCCTCCGGAGTCCAAAGTAGGCACGATTCCCTGCCATAATGCGTCTTTGAATTTCTCTGCTGGTATCATTTTCGGCGGTCACCAGTGAGCCCAAATACACGAACTCATCGACCACCTCGATTTCGTCACCGTCAATCTGAACTCGGGGTGGGAGGCTAACATTGTCTTCCCTAGAACCTCTTGCTTTCATATATTTTGTCTTTGATGCGTTGATGGCAAGTCCAATCCGTCTAGCTTCAGCCTTCAGTCTGATGTACGTTTCCGCCATCATCTCAAAGTTCCGTGCCATAATGTCAATGTCATCGGCGAAACCAAGGAGCTGGATGGACTTCCTGAATATCGTGCCACTCGTGTCTATCCCAGCTCTTCTGATCACACCTTCTAACGCGATGTTGAACAGCAGACACGAAAGTCCATCACCCTGCCGTAACCCCCTTCGAGATTCAAAGGGACTCGAGAGTGTCCCCGATACTCGAACAACGCACGTCACTCGATCCATCGTCGCCTTGACCAATCGCGTCAGTTTATCCGGAAATCCGTACTCGTGCATAATCTGCCATAGCTGATCTCGATCGATTGTGTCGTATGCGGATTTGAAATCGATGAACAAATGATGTGTGGGCACGTTGTATTCGCGGCATTTCTGCAGAACCTGCCGAATCGCGAAAATTTGGTCCGTGGTAGCGCGGGCACCCATGAATCCCGCCTGGTATTGCCCCACGAACTCTCTTGCATATGGTGACAGACGGCGGCATAGAATTTGGGAGAGTACCTTGTAGGCGGCGCTCAGCAGTGTGATCGCGCGGTAGTTGCAGCAATCCAACTTGTCGCCCTTTTTGTAGATTGGGCATACGACACCTTCCATCCACTCCTCCGGTAATATCTCCTCCTCCCAAATCTTGGCAATTACCCAGTGCAGCGCTCTAGCCAGTGCTTCACCACCGTATTTCAATAGCTCACTTGGTAGTTGATCTACACCAGTTGCTTTGTTGTTCTTCAGCCGACCGATCTCCTCCTCAACTTCTTGAAGATCAGGGGCCGGTAGCCTGTCGTCTTCTGCGCGTGCTCCAAGGTCTGTTGCCGTGCCACCTTCGTTTTCTGCTGCTTCACCGTTGAGGTGCTCGTCATAGTACTGCTTCCACCTCTCAATCACCTCACACTCGTTCGTGAGAAGGTTACCGTCCAAGTCCTTGCACATATCGGCTTGCGGCACGTAGCCTTTGCGCGAACTATTTAGCTTCTCGTAGAACTTCCGTGTGTCGTTTACGCTGTACAGATTTTCCATCGCCTCGCGATCTCGATCTTCCTGCTAACGCTTCTTCCTTCGGAAAACCGAGTTTTGTCTGTTCCGCGCTTGTCTGTATCGCTCCACATTCAATCTCGTGCGGTGTTGCAGCATTCTCGCCCGTGCTGCATTCTTCTCCTCTACTAACAGTTTGCATTCGCCGTCAAACCAGTCATTTCTTCGGTCCGGGATTGCAGTACCTAGTGCCGCTACAGCAGTACTACCTATGGCTGAACGGATGTCCCTCCAGCCATCTTCAAGAGAAGCTGCGCCAAGCTGCTCTTCCGTGGGTAGTGCAACTTCCAGCTGCTGCGCGTAGTCCTGGGCAACTCCGGTGTCCCATAGTTGCTCAATGTTGGGTCGCGGCGTTCGACTTCGACGTGTGTTATGCACCGTCGAGAGTTTTGAGCGCATGCATACTGCAACTAGGTAGTGGTCCGAATCTATGTTCGCACTGCGGTACGTGCGGACGTTGATAATGTCGGAGAAGAATTTCCCATCGATTAGAACGTGATCGATTTGGTTTTCTGTGTGTTGGTCAGGTGATCTCCAGGTGGCTTTGTGGATATCCTTGCGGGGGAAAAAGGTACTTCGAACTACCATACGATTTTTGTCAACTCTCATCTTAATTTTTTACACGTTGTGAACAGGCATGGACAATCATTTACATTCATTTCATGCATTCATTTACATTCATTTGCCTCTAACTTTTTTCATCAACAGCATTCCGCAAAATAATGCATCGAACTTTTGTAGGTTTTGTTATTAGCTACAACTTTTGCCTGTAACTCAAATCTGTATCTCTTATGCGTCACGAATTAGAACGAATAGAAGCCACTACTGTTTTTCAGTGAATGTAAAATACATTCACTGAAAAACAGTAGTGGCTTCTATTCGCTTTGGTTCGTCATGCATAAGAGATACAAAACCTACAAAAGCTCCATACATCATTTTGCGGAATTCTGTTGATGAGAAAAGTTAGGGGCAAATGAATGTAAATGAATGCACGAAATGAATGCAAATGATTTTCCATGCCTGGTTGTGAATATCAAAGGAGCTTGTAAAATCAATAGCAAGCATGATATTTTGTTCCAATATTGATATTGAGAGCGTATGAGACCGAAAAAATTTGATTGATGATTATTCCGACACTGGAAATGAGTATAGAATAAGGCAAAGTGAAAAATTCCAAAGAAGGCGATGGGAGGCCTAGGATTGAACTCCCGACTTTCTGCTCAGCAAACAGAAACGGTAACCACTGAGGTACCGAGCACCTTTTAAATTTTATTCATGGGCACAGCCTACTTTCGTTTCAGGAAAATTTTGTCACTACTCTACAAGCTTCCGGGTTATCCACAAACCACATGGAAAGTTGTTTAAGTGTTACTTCACGCGAGTTGGTTGGTTATTTGTCACTACTTCCCTTTGAGCATTGTTTAAATAGAAGAAGAATTAAGAACATTGGCAATAACTGACCGATCAACTCACCCACACTGCGTCGTCCCACGGATCCTCGTGATCCGTAGTGATCGTACGGTGTACCGTAGTTGCCTCCGTACTGTGATCCATACTGATCTTCCTCCGGTGCACAGTTGGCAGGGTCGTCATATTCGGGGCCAGGTCCGCAGTATAGCGATCCTCCTTGGGAGTTGATGCGAGTGTACCGTCTCTGTGAATGTCAAATGGAACAACACGTTAGATATATGTCGCTAGAAAAAGGTCAATCGACGCACATATTGATCCTCCTCGGCGCAGTTCGCCGGATCGTCGTACTCGGGTGCCGGAGTGTAGATACTGCTCTGTCCTCCCTGGCTATTCTTGCGTGCATACCGGTTCTGGCGTGGCTAGAAATAGGTAAGAATCATTATTCATACATGGAACAGAACGGCAATGGCGCGCTTTTTCTCTTCTTTCGAAGACTTATGGCGTTGAGTTGTTTGTTGGTAGTTTGGAGAGAAAATATCGGCGGTCGCGCCTGTACTGTACCATTGACTGTGATCCGGAGCGCGAGTGCACGTGGTTCGGCACCTGCATGGCCATGTTCGAACCCATCGTGCCCATGTGACCTGGTCCGGTCATGCCGTTCTGATGCGGGAATGTCTGGAAGTTCATCGCCTTGGTTGGGTCCATTTCCTCGCGGAAACCGAGCAGGTGGAACGTTGCGTACGGGCAGATTTCGTCCTCCATGCCTATGGTTGGGTTTTTGGAAAGGAGATATTAGCTTTCCGCCGAACAGATAACTTCACTCATTTCATCTGTTAGTATCAATCTTACCGTCTAGATGGAGATGTCAGGATTTGAACCGGATTTTTGGTTGGAAAAGTTATTTGTTTTAAAGGGAAGCAAAGCGACAATTTTGACAAGTAACGAAGAACGGAATTGTGTTGAAAAGGAAGACAGAACGTCAAGCATTAGACCGAATGTGCGATGTGTGTATGTGTGCTAAGTATTTTCTAAATATGCTAAGGGTGCATTCAATCGAATCTACGGTTTGGAGGAAGCAAAGGGGCAACTTTACCGTAACACGCTGGTGGATGGTTACATCTTCTCGGTAGCGTCGGACCTTGAACGTTTTTCAGCTCTTCGTACAGTGGTCGACGGGGGTCCCAGGTTGAGTGGTTGGATTTATTGATAGGATTATGGCCTGATTGGTGGTACAAATAATAAGCAATTTTGATGAGATGAGGATAGAGTGTAGAGAACTTAAGATTGATAGGGTGACTGATGACGAGTGTGATGTGATTGAGTTGATCTTTTTTTTTTAATTTTCAGTGAAGGTAGGAAAAAGTGTGAACTATTGTTGTGAAGTGTAAAATTTGAAGATAGGTCTATAACCAGCATTAAGAACATTCACACTCAAAAATAATACAACGCCAAGTGGCTGATTAGGAGACGTTTCAGAGTATAGTAATCCAACCATTGCAGGTTAACATTGTATCCTTTTTGAAGATGGTTCCTTTTAGATCTAACGAAACAAAAACTAGTTTTCTACATAAGTAATTCCTCAGCATGCGTTCCACGTTCCACCATTTTTAACAAAACTCGCTGTACGGAGAACTACTATGCAGCGAGCTTCCTTTATGGAAGCGGTACGTACGAAGCATTTCCGAGGATATTGATTCTACACATTGAGGAAAGAAGCAACATCTATCGAAATTACTGAACTTTGAACTTCACTTCACTTACTTACGCCGATTAAACGTTTCGTTACTAACAAAAACCCTGCAATTATGAACAATCGAATCGCATTAAAGTACTCACTTATCACGGTTCCTCGCTTCACGCGGTCGCAGGTGTTGTAGTTGGATCCGGGTACGGGAGGGAGTTTTCGGTTCGGAGGTGCAATGTAGCCCAGTTCATCGCGGATGTCCGGTCGGCGTTTGTCCAGTGTAGCAGCACCAGCCGGTCCCATCGATTGATTGTAGACCACGTCGTCTACGCGGGTTGCGGATTTCGAAAAAAAAATGGAGGTTAGTTTGATCTCGTGTTGTACGGATAGAAAATCAGTAGATTCAGTTCCGTTGCTTTTTTAGGGAACATTTATAATTTACACTACGTACCAGTATCGATTTTTACATTGTCTTACAAATCAATACAATGAAGCAGGATGCCCTAAAAACTGTGGTTTCAGGCTACTATTATAAATATACTTCAAACGAAGGTAATTTTCTCGGAGACTAATCAGCCTTAACTGACAGAAACAGTACGCTTCTCGGCAACGGGGCAGGCGTGCTGTGTCACAGAATTGCCACGAATTTGGCACCCTTGGGGTTCTGCCACTTAATAAAGAACAACAACAACAACAAAAACGACTGTAATTTTTTGTTTTATGTTGATAAATCAATGTAAAAAATGCCTTATATTAGCTCGTATGAATAAAAGCGTTTAATTTACTTTTCCCTTAAGAAAGTAAAGTAAACTCTTTTTATTCATACGGCCCATTAATTCTAGTACAGTACCGTTCGCTAGATGGACTGAGCTTTGAGTGATTTTTTTTCAATTCGATTTTTCACTAGAGTCGAAGAAAGTTTACCCCTATTGAAATTAATATTTTAACCATTGAAATATTTCCACAAAAAACGATTCCTTAATAGATAATTACGTTGCGGCTTATTTTTCGAATGTTCATGAAACCTACATTAATTCGGCTATCGAGCAGAAAACATCAAATCAATCCATTGTTTCAGAGTTAACAAGTCAATTATGCGTTTGGAACGATACTTTAGTTCAAAAGCTACCGAACGAAGCCAATGAGAACGCGTGATAAGAAGGTTTACCCCCACATTTTTCTAAAAAACAAAAGAAGCGCTCCGACGGAATCAATTTTTAACTGCATCCGATACGTCGAAGTGAATTCAATGGCGTTTGAATGACGTTTCAATGCATTAGGCCTAATTAAGAATCCGTAGGCCGAGTTTGGGGTCAAGAAGCAGTGTTAGATTTTTAAGGGGGAGAGGTAGCTCATCGATTCTTCCGGTTCGCCTCCTAGCATCGTGCTATAAGGTACCAGGCGATAACCAGGGTAGTTGATCGATAGCTCGATGACGTCATTTCGTTGGCGTCTGCAATGGGAAATTCTCATAGCAAGCGTTGACGATGGGACGTTGTCGATTTGTCGAATAGCAACTATCGTGGTAACTCACCGATTACCTGTCGATCTGCCAAATTTGGAAAGACGTCTGCATTGAATTGTCTCATATAATAATATTCCGCCCACTATATCACAAGAAATTGCGAGTAGCTGAGTGGAATGGAGATAAGTTAAGCATTGGGTACAGGACCAAGTCTCCCCTGGGTGGTGCCAAAAGATGAGCGCAATAGAATCATCAAGTTGCCATAAGGCACGGAATGAGACTATTGCATGGCTGGGTAGTCAAAGTCTTCCATTCGTTAGTCATTTCAGGTGGATTAGAACAGGTTTAGGTGGGCGTTGGCCGGATTTGGATTTTTCAGATGTAATCCTGGATAGGACCCTGTCATTGAACGTCGCGTGAAAGTGGAACTTAATGAAGGCCTAAGTACTTTTTCGTAGTTTTTAGTTTTCGGATTTGAAAGATCGTCGGTTACAGTGGCCTGCTTACTGAGCAGAAAAACGCGGTCCCAGGTCCTTACATATCAAAGAGATTTATGGTCAAATCGCTTGTGTATCGTGTATTTTGCGAAACTCGTTGTTGTCGTTGGTTCCGGGTTTGAATGGATACACAAATTTGAGCAACGGTATTATGTGATATGAGGGGCTCGGTGGCCTTAGAGCAACCGTTTTTGCTTACTGAGCAGAACATCATAAGTCTAATCTCAGGCCCATCCACATTCAAGATTCGTCAATCGTTTTATTTGTTAATATGACTACATGGTAATAACAGCAACTCGGTGATTAAAAAGGTGCTCGTCTGCCTAGTGGCAAACGTTTTTGCTTACTGAGCAGAAGACCGTGGGTTTAGTCCCAAGCTCCTTCGCGTTATATGATCGTTAGGACATCAATTCAGCTTATCGTTTACCAAAACGAACCCTGCTGCAAACCCAACCCTCTTATCCAACATCCCAGTGATTCCTCGTGGAAGTGCAGAGGTGTTCTCGGCTTCCATCAAAGCGAGTGTCATGTCAACACAATCCTTCCCATTCCTTTCTTGACCTGTGTTCGGGCGCGGCCGGCGCTGGTATTGCCTAATTTAAGATCACCAGTTTTTACACATTGAGGATGATTGCTAGTCCCAAGCATCGTCTATTGGTTCTCTGTGTGATTACAGCTGATCTGGCAGTAACAGAGTAGCAACCGTGGGCGGTCAATCAAGCTCAAGCTCAAGCTCAAGAAGCAGTGTTAGATTTTTAACAATATCTCAACAATTTGTTTCTCTTTAGCAAATATTACGGTCCGTACGGAAAGGTAAATAAACGTAGAAGTCATCTGCAGTGGAAACATTCCATTTTGTGAAAAAAATCCACTCGACAAATAGAGGCGACGTGTTGTGCTTAGTAGGCCCAACATTAGATCTAATATCAATCCTCATGATTTATCATCGCGATGTATCCAGAATCATTTTCAGCTTCATAAGTTGCGATAGCCATCTTGGAGCAGGCTCTGCGTATACCGGGTGATTTCAAGATATTGCAAGCCAATGATAATGGTAGATTTTTCATGTCCACAGCATGCTCAGGTTACTCTGCCCCTGGCGGAAGTAGCCGATTTGGAATATGACCGGAACCATATCAATATGCCATGAGTACCCTGGAGCAGGATCTAGATGCTCCGGGCAAGTCGCCAATTTGAGACATGACCGGTGCCAAACTTCAAGATTTTGCAAGCCATTGTCAATGAAAGCTTTTTCAAGTCCACAGCATGCCCCGGTTTCCTTGGAGCAGGTTTCGGATGCCCCGGGGGAAGTGACCAATTTGGGGCATGTCCAAAACCATATCAATATGGGTGTCAAACTTCAAGATTTTGCGAGCCGATGCCAATGGTAGCTTTTTCAAGTCCACAGCTGCCCCGGTTTCTTTGGTACAGTTTCTTGGTGCCCAATTTGGGACATGACCGGAACGATATCAATATGGTTGTCAAATTTCAAGATTGTTCAAACCATTGCCAATGATAGATTTGCCATGTCCACAGCTTCCAATGTTTACCCTGAAGCAGGTTCTGGATGCCATGGGGGAAGTGACCAATATGGTTGTCAAACTTCAAGATTGTTCAAACCAATGCCAATGGTAGATTAAGATGTGTCGCACCCTCAGGAAAAACGTCTGCTGCTTTGGCCGGATTTTGCATCCTGTCAATACGGAAAAAAGGCCATAGAGTCTCGCATAGAGTAGTATGCCGCCAGCAACGTGCTGCAGGTGGTGCCCAATGACAAGAACCCTCCCAACACGCCAGAGCTCCACCTAATCGAAAAATAATAGGCCATCGTCAAGCGGAACCCGAAGAACACCAAAAAACTGTTGGAAGCGAGACGCAGTTTAAGCAACAATCAATACGAAACTAACGATTTTAAATTGGCTCACTACTTGACTAGCCTATTGGTCCCAAGCAAACAATTAACGTATCCCATTCTAGTCGAAATTCCAGTACTACACGGTAAGAAAAAAGTACCCAACGGCCAGTTCACTTTTACCTACTTTTGACTAGTTTGTCTCCTTTTGTCCTACTAATGTTGTCAAAAACGGACGAGCAAAACCACCCAACAGGGGTAGTAAAGTGTGGGAACCCAACGTTGAGTATAATCATATTTACCTATTGTTGGGTACATCTAACTTACTTTTGGTTAAAAAGCAAGTGGAAAATTCCATACGAACTGCACACAAGTAAATGAAAATTACTTTGACCCGCTTTACCTACTTTTGGGTTCCTGCACTATAGTGCCGAGATGAGTGAAAAGAACTTAATTTTGGGTACTTTTTTCTAACCGTGTACACTATGTTTGTTTTGATTCGCTATGAAAGTTTGACAGATAAAATGAGGGGTTATTGGATTTTCCTATGTTTCGAGGGGTGAATCGATTAACTTGGGACCGAAGAGAGTACCAGAGCTGAGCCAAAAAGTTGAGCACGTTATTTCGGGACCTTCTAGTCTTAGAGTATTAAGGCAAACTGACGTTCTGCGGCGAAAACAAAATGGACGAGGTGGCTGTACAGAACCTGATGGCAGAGGCTAGATCAAAGGCCGAGCTATTCGGATTCGCTCAACCGGAATGATTTTTTTAATAAACAAATTAATCAATTTAGACGGATTATTGTTTGACCAAATTTTGATCGTAACACCCTTTAATATCGAGATTTTAGGCTGTGTTCCATTTGGTGAATTTTCACTTAAATTTGACAGATGGAAAATTTCAAATAAATCTGCTATTCCAGCAGACTTATTTTTGACAGACAAGGGATATCATTTTCACAGAAATATTCTCGAAAATCGATCGATCAACAACAGAGGGATTAATATATTTTCGAAGTGCCAAATTTAAGTTAAAATTTACCAAATGGAACAGCCTGATACTCTGGTTTCGACAATATTCAATATATTAGCATTTCAAGCTGAACATTGCATTAGGTAACATTGATCGATTCTCTTCGTCGACTTGCTCTTTTGTTAATAACTTGAACACATAACCGTTTCTTGTTGTGTTTGTCGTATTAGATGCTAGATAAAAGCTTCTTTTATCGATCTGTGTGCTGAAAATTCCTGGGAATGTCTTTACATGGCCGTGGGGATACAAAGAGAAAGTGGACGAAGATAATCTGTCAATGTTACTTAGGACCTAATGCAATGTTCAGCTTGATTTCGCCCAAAATGAAATTGATTATTTTGCTTTTGAGGATCGTTTCTGATTTTGACAATTTTGGGTTGGTTAATCAAGCACTGGTGAAGCACTCACTCGACAAAAAGTGACACAACAGCGGGGCCCTTTTTTACTAGATATGAACACATGAATAATACTCACGTAGCA